ATCTTGTCCCCATTGCTGAACAGTTTAATCAGCCTAATTTAACCCAGAGAGACTGTGTGCAGCAGTCAGTCTCAACTGGACTAAGGAATCATCTAACGTTGGGTGGTGGTTATGCCTTGGATATCTATTTACATGATTGCAAAAAGGCAAAAGTGAGCTTTCATGTGTGTCCACTTCACAGATTAGGCCGCAAATTACCTGGATCAAGTCTGTGACAGAATGGAACAGTTAAGCCCTGTTTGCATGTCATGTGATCTCCCAGACAGATAAGGGAAATAAAGTAATCTAGTAAAGCATTTAGCTGGAGTAGGTAAGATTTCTCACATGCATAGTACTCTAAAGGCAAGTTGGGCAATAAAAGATCAAATAGGTTAAGAAGAAAAATCTATTGTTGGAGTTTGGAAGGAGAATATGATCGTTGGCAAATTAAGCTGGATCTATCATCTATCTGTCTGTCTGTCTGTCTATCTATCCGTTCATTATCCAAGAAGCGAAATGTCTTCGAAGAAAAAAACAAGGAAATCCAGTTGCCTCCTGAAAAAAACACCTTTGGGACAACCATGACCTGGATGACTCATAATCTCCATAGACATTCAAATGCAGTGGCAGGAACAGGGAAACACTTTCTGTATATTTGCTTAAGCTAAGTGCCACATTTACAACTAGTTTTGTAGGACCAAACAGAAATTAAGATGTTCATAAATTCCAGGTGAGAAATAGAGGACAACTCCACAGAAAAGCAGAGCAGAAACTAAAGCAGAATGAAGAACTAGTGAGAATTTCTTTCTGGACAAGGAGAAGACTTCAGATTGTCTACAAGTGCTCCAGATAGTTGTACCTTGTGAGAACATACAAAAGAAATCAGTTGCTGTCTTAATAATTAAAAGAAATATACAAATAACAAATCAACCTGTACAATCTTCCTATATTGGATTTACAAAAGAGGCTTATTAAAGATTTGAAGAATTTTATGAGGAGGAACAAAGAAAAAATGAAAAGAAATCAAGTTCTAAGATTATTTGAAGGATGAAATATTAAGATTGTAAGAAGTAAAGGGACAGAATATAAAGTTGGTTTATTTGATCAAGGTTAAAATAGATATCCTGTTATTTCTGGTAATCTTTAATGGTATTTTGCCAACTTCTTAGACCAAGATGATGAGTTTTTAAAGATTTGCTTACAGATAAAGAGATGGGATAGAAGAAAAGATCATTTGTAGGATTGAAACAAAAAGTAATGTTACAAAATTGTTTATACTTGTGATAGGGGGAAATCATTCCTTTTGTATTTCTTTTATATATTTCTCTTTTTCTTTACTATTTTTCTTTCATTTTTCTTTTATTTCTATTCTTTTTTTTTAGTTTGTATGAGTTTCTACTGCTGCAATTGTAATTTTTAGTAAAATTACTATTAAAAGTATGTTCTGATATTTGATGGTATGAATAAAGATAAATTTGATTGACAAGCAGGTGCATATGCTGAAGTTTGGATGGATGGACCCTGAAAATCAGCTCACAAAAGTGTCTGAGAAAGTTCATTGTTACCGGAATAACACCCAAACTGGTCCCCGAGCACCTTATAGTTCTCCAAGATCAGATGCTGACGAGCCTTAAAGTCATCCACGATCAAGCAGTTTAGGAAAAGATTCTGCTACACAGCAGGCAACTGAAAGACCCCAACTTTGTTTTTCTAACTTACAGATATTTATACAGGTTGTCTTCAACGTACAATCACAATCGTGCCCACAATTTCTGTTGCTAAGCAAGACAATTGTGAATCTTGCCCCATTTTATGACCTTTCTTGCCACAGTTGTTAAGTCAATCACTGCAGTTTTTTGATTTAGTAAGACGGTTGTTAAATGAATCTAACTTCCCCATTGATTTTGCTTGTCAGAAAGTTGCAAAAGGTGATCATGACCCCAGGGCTGCAACTGTCATAAATATGAGTCAATTGCCAAGTGATTGAAATTTGATCATGTGACCATGGAGATGCTGCAACATTTCTTAAGTGTGAAAAATGATCATATGTCACTTTTTTCAGTGCCACTGTAACTTCAAATGGTCACTAAATGAACTGTTGTTAAGACGAGGACTATCACCCAGCTGGCTTTTTGCTTAAGGCAGGACTTGTGCTCTCCTAATTTCTAACCTGATACCTTAAGCATTACAGCAAACTGGCTGTTTATTAGTTATTCCCTCCAATTTTAGTCAATTGTAAAATGTAGAAGCTTTCTCCCACCTGGTTATCCAAGTCATTAAAAATATGAAAAACAGGTCCCAGGACTGATCCTTGTAGAAGTCTACTTGATGCTTCTGTCCAATTTGATAACAAACCATTGATTAGCATTCTTTGGGGTATTCATGGGTTTACAAAGCACCTACTGATATATATATGCTTGTTATGACATCCCGCAAATATTTAACTAGCTTGCTAATTAGCGTGACATGGAATACTTCGTCAAATGTTTGGTTAGGTGATTACTTCCTAACCTTGTTCTGGTGAATAAGTCATAGCAAGCTGGTTCACAATGTCTATGCCATGACACAGTTTGTCTAATTTTGCTTAGCAAACTATATGAATCCAAGCACTGTGGTTTATGACTTAAAGTAGTATGCTAACCCATCCAATTGTAGCTAAGACAACAAAATGTTTTCAGAAGTATGTGGTTTTTCATGTCTGACTTGCATAGATTCTTATCCTATCTAGCTGGAAGTTTCCAGATGGCGATGTTGTGGCCAATCCTGTTTATTTTCGTGGCCACTGTGCTATGGGATTTCTATACTTTTTAATATTAAGATTAAATTTTGTGCTTGGGTTGTACTCTTAAGAAGGATCAGGCCAACAGCTTGTAGATATTTTGCAAGTCTACATTACTTCCAAAGATTTTATTCTCAATATACTACCTTCAAAAATTATTTTCACTTCAAAATAAAGTCTAACAAACCTTAAGAACCTTTGTTGCCAGAACATCTATAAAAAATCCACTTCTCATTAGCCACTATGCAATTTATGAATCTTCATTAGATGACATCATCAAGTGTAGGTAGCAAGGCAGGATCTTTATTATGGCAGAATCCTGATTGTGGAATTAATCCCCAAAAGATCAAGATATGCTCAATATCTAGAGATATTTTGTGCTCCCTGATATTACTGAACTACCTAACCAATGAGGCCAATAGTGAAAGAAGGTGGAAGTTGTACTTCTACAATATCTGAAGGGTCCAGGTTTTCCCAACTGTTCTGCAAAAAGTTTCCTTATTTAGATTATAAAATATTCATATGCACTTGATTTCTCTCACATCATTTTCTATAACTAGAACACTCTTTTGAAGTACAGGGAAGCAATCTTCCTTTTAAACATGTTCTATAGAACCTTAGCTCTACTTGCCACTTATAAGACATAAGTTATATTATCAGCTGATCTATCCAAGGTAGCAAGCTGAGAGTCCAGTTCTACAACATCTTTCCATCAAAGTAATCCTGATAAAGTTAAAGGCACAGATGAATTCGTATTGAAATCAATAGATATAGTTTTATCTATCCAAAACTACAATATACATCTTAACTTTATTGATTTTAAATATATCTATAGGTTTAAACAGAAATGCAAACAACAAAAGAGATGCAAACTAGATATTTAATTTCCACAACACAGTATAAAAATGCTTTAAATAATCCCAACCTTTAGCTGATTTAAAAGAGTAATTTTCTGTTTTTTTCTATCATTGCCCAAAATAGTCTAACAAAGTCCAACATAAATACCCTGTTTTATATAGTCCTTACTTTTACAAACACAAACATAAATATGTGAACTACACTGTAGTGTATAAATTATAATTTTTTCAGGCAAAGAAACAAGCACTAAATCACAAAGGTTTTCCAAGTTAACAGCAAAACCTTTACATGCTGTATGTATTCACATGTAACTCCTATTAGTCAATACTGAGTTAGGATGTTTACAAATTCCTTAAATTCCATTTTTAAAAGATCCTATTTAGTCCCACTGACAAACTACACATTAATATATTATCCAATTAGTCCAATACAGGAGGGTCTGGTCTTAAATGTTGATTGCAAAAGTTTCCTGTAAATTAAGCTGTGTTTTGTTACATCACCATCCCAAACACCCTTTGGTTTAATATATTTTTCAAAGAAACAGTTCAGAAACTACACAGCTTAGAAACCAATTTTCCATCTCAAGACTTTTGTTTACTTTAAAAATAACTGTACAAGACACCATAAATATTTCATGCAGTGCAGCATGCCAACGAACAAAACACACCATCCGAATTACATAAAACCTCAAAGACCATCTTCAATTCGATTCACAAACACATATACACATATTATTTATAAGTGTGAATGTTTTCCTTGCTTATTTAGAACTAAAGACCGTGAAACAAGGGAACACGTCAATCAAGCTAGCATTTAATCGCGGGGCGGTTCCGAGAAGTTAAACTCATAAATAGAAACTGTTTTTTTCCCTCCATACACAAACAAAGTGAGGTTTTTTTTTTAAACTTTCTTTTCCATAATCTTCACGATCGTCTATCAGACACCCGTCAATGCAACCCTGTAGTGGGAGAGACTCCGCAGGCAGGCACAGCTCTCGCTCTCTCCCTCGCCTTCTCGTGAAGCTAACTAAAACACCCAGCGTTTCTTTCGGTCAGGCAGAAATAAGGTCGTGCTGGTGAAGCCAATGCCCGTTTCTCCCCTTAACCTAAAGAGCAAGACAGAGAAAGCCCCGAAAAGGCCCCATCCTTTCTCCAAACAGGAAAGCTGGGAGCTTGGCGGGGGCGGTTCTCCTTGGCAGCTTCTCCCGGCACACATCCACTCCACTTGGCAAGTCAGCCCATCTTCGCCAGACACAAAACCGGAGCCCCCGACTTCAGGGCGATGCCTATCCACCACCACCACCCCATCCCCAGCGGCCCACGACCTCGGATTCTCCCTCCGGGCGCGCATGCACGCTTGGCTATCTTTACTTTCCTCCCCTTACCATTGCAGAACTGCAGAAGCGAAGAAGTGTCATAGAGGCTGCTGTAGCTGGAGAATCCGTCCTCCATCATCCCGAAGCCAATTTCGCGCCCCTCTTCGGCCCGTTTGGGATCCTCGGCCCCGCCAGCCCTAGTCCAAATCGCTCCTTCCAGCCTCTCTTCCCTCCTTTTTGCCACCCGCTCTGGTCAAACTCGGGCTGCTCTTCTGCTCTTTCGGTCGCTCAGTACTCTCACCCACACAGTGCAAAAGCGAAGGAAAAGCTGAGGCGGCTGGGGCTGGGGCCGGCCTGCCTCCTGCCTCTGCCAGTTGCCATGACAACGCATTCACTCCACCGTGGCTTGGGCCGCCGCCGCCGCTTCTCTCCTCTGCTGGAAGAGGAGGGGGAAGAATGGGGCTGCCTCTCCGGTTCTTTGGGGGGGGGGGGAGAGAGTTAGGCATAATACTGTAAAAGTCGCCTGTTGTCTACAGAGCTAAGTTGAGAACGGCTACGTTACTCTTCGCGATTTGCAAGAAAATAGGGACCACGTTTCCCCTACCCTGCCGTTGAATGGGAGGCGAGCGGGCTGCCTTTCGTTCCAAATTTAGGTTGCCATCCATTTCTTTCCGAAGGCAAGCCCGTTGCTCCGCACGATGGGAGATGAATTGCACCCTTGGAAGGGCGATTGCATATCTGGGACTTCCTAGGAAGATAAAGAGGTTACCTCACCAGCACCCAGCCTTTAATCACGCTTCCAACCTTGACACCATAGCACGGCTAAGAGATTTGGAACATGCAACTATCCGAAGGCTGTTCGATCCACAAATAGGGCGTGCTTTTAAGGAGACCCCTTCTGTAAGGACAAGGGTCAAAATAGCCGCCGCAAAGTTTTAAAAAGAGGGAATGTGTGGGAGATTCTCTGGAATGGGCGCTTTCCTGCTCCCTCTCCCCAAGTGAAACAGTTAAAAAAAAACAGGCAATCCCTGGGACACGAAGTACAGCAGGGCTGCTTGCATGCATGTGCTGCAGCGCAGAAAATGCTGTCAAAGAGATTCCATCTAAATATGAAAGCGTAATTAGAAAAAACGTGGCTCCCAAGCATGTGCAGAATGCCTTTCCCAGCCAGCACTGATCAGGAATTACTGCTTCCCTATTGAGAAAAAACATAAATTCCAACAGTCTTCAACCCTGACACATCCTTTTGTACATTGATCTTCCTGATAAGAAACAGAAACCTTTCCGGTTTTTAGCGACTGCAAACGACGCCCTTCTCAGCCTGCAGCTCTCTGCCCCGCCCAGTCGTGGGAAGGGTGTTCCTGCCAGCCCCTCCCCCGCCTTCAAAATAAGGACTCAGGAACGAGAAGACTGAACAAACGGGAAAGAAATTTGGCGATTATTTGCGGAAGGTCCGGGAAACCGTGGGAGGCCCAGAGAGAAAGTGAAAGGAGAAAGAAAAGAAAAAAAGATTCTGGCGGAAAAAAAATCTGGCAAAACCGCGAGATTACCGAGGGCGGAGCGATGCAATCAATCAATAAACATTATTGGAGGAAAAGCAGTCATTTCTGATGGTGGTCGAAGAGCAGATTACGTTGCCTGTTGCTTCTGGAAATCTGGGAGGTGCTGGGCATTTTTTTTTTCTTGAAATGCTTCTGAAACCGGCTCTTAATTTAAGATTCTGTTCTAGTTTTCGCCTCCATCCCAGAAAGTCTGAAATAATTAAAAGGGTCTTACTGTTAAAGAAGTGGGCCTCAACTTGCAAATCATGCTGTGCAAAACTAAATGCTTTTACTTAGCAGAGTAATCGGCCTTACTCATAAATGCTCATACCTAGTACTGTATTGCAACTTTAATAGATGCTAAAAAAGGAAATCTGTAATTAGTGACATGGAGAGCTGGAGGAAATCCAAAATTATTTTAAAACTACTTTACTGATAAAAGTTCTAACTAGAGTATTCGAATATACGTGATTGTCCATAGGGAGTACTTAATTTTTTTCAGATTTTGAAACATCCTAATGCACATAACATACAAAAAAACAAAAATTGTACATGTATATGTATGTGTATGTATGTGTGTGTATGTATGTATGTATGTATGGCATTCAGCTTTGTTCGGGTATTTTCCCACATCATAGTAGTTGTGCTTTTAAAGTTGTAGCAACGTTTTGGCAGAATCTCATCTGCCATCATCAGGCTTCTGTATAGTGTTCATCTGTGTTCTATAATCTCAACTTCAATGGCACCAAAACCCTAGCCACTATAGAAAACCCCAGCCACAGAATCATCAGAGAAGCCATAGAGATTGAAAAAAGACCAGAAAGCATGAATAGAAGAGATGATTCCACCAGACTGTCAATCATTTGGAAGCCTGCACTCACAAACAAAAAAATCTCCACACCACAAGCCAGGCAAACTCCTGGGCACAAACAGATCCCCCCTGATACCTCCAGCTCAAACACACCCCAACCAGGCACCCAGATGAAACCTAGCTTCCTAACTAATGATAGCCGTCCATTTACCCGGAGCCAAGCTGCACTAAAGGCCTCCAATAAAGTAACACAATGTTGCAAGCCTATCAAGATACAAAAAGAGCCAAAAAACAGACAGAAGATATTAGAAACACCAATCAAGCAGAACAAAGCAAACTCCAAGACCAATAAACACAGACCAAGACTCCCAACCAATCAGGATGAAGAAAAAAAAACATTCTGGCACAGCAATAGGCTGCCCCAAATTTAAATCTGAAACCACTGTAAAAGTCTGACTCACAGATGAACACTATACAGAAGCCTGATGATGGCAGATGAGATTCTGCCGAAACGTTGCTACAACTTTAAAAGCACAACTACAATGACGTGGGAAAATACCCGAACAAAGCTGAATGCCATACATTATATATATATATATATATACACACACACATACATACATATACATACACACACACACACACACACATATATACAATTTAATGGGATTTTCCAATAAATTTGTTGCATAAACATTTTTAGATAGATAGATAGATAGGTTTATAGATAGATAGATAGATAGATAGATAGATAGATAGATAGATAGATAGATAGATAGATAGATAGATAGATAGATAGGTTTTCTTAAGTTTTCGCGGGTACTTACATGTATGGTATTCAGCTTTGTTCGGGTATTTCCCCACGTCATTATAGTTGTGCTTTTAAAGTTGTAACAACGTTTCGGCAGAATCTCATCTGCCATCATCAGGCTTCTTTTATTGTGTTCGTCAGATTCTGCCGAAACAAAAGTCCAAAGAGCCACCATCTTGTGTGATCTCACATTCCTACGCAATTGCTGAGACAAAAATGTGATCCCCACATGCTTCCAACTCAAATTCCATTCCAAAACTTCAGCCACTGAAAGGATCCTGAAAAGAACGGAATTAGCCCTAATCAGAAATGAACTCCACAAGAAAAGATTCCTACGAGACCAAACCAACAGAGACCTACTCACATTCCATCTCAAACTCAGCAACAAAATCCACCCAGCACTCTGGGACAAATCCAAACAACTAGCCTGCTGGAGAGCCGAAACAGAAACCTCCCACAAGACAGACACACACACCAGGAAACTCCACAGACTAGAGAAACGCCAGAAACCCAACCCTTCCCCACAACAACACATGAAACAAACAGTACACAACATATCAGACAGAACCCTCACCATAGCAGAAACCAATGTTCTTTCCAAAGGATTCAACTTTTCAGTCTCCCCCAAACGCATCCCCACTGAAAACATTATATGCGGAGTTGAAGCTAGCCTAACCAAAATCAACCCAGATGCAGCCAACAAAATCAGACTTGAAGTCACCAACGTCCTCTGCTCCAGCAACCCACCCAGAAGCAACCTACACAGAGAAGAACAAAAAGCACTCACCAACCTGAGGAAAGACAGCAACATAGTCATTCTCCCAGCAGACAAAGGCAACACCACAGTCGTAATGAACACATTGGACTACCACTCCAAACTATCCAACCTACTCCAAGACCCTGCTTACAAACCTCTGAATACTGACCCCACCACCTACCTAGAAAAAAACAGCAAATCCAAAATAAAAGCATCTCCCATCAGTGAAGAGATCCAGCAGAGAATCATCCCCAGAGAAAAATCATCCAGATGCCCTAAGCTCTATGGCTTCCCCAAGATACACAAAGAAGGAATACCACTCAGACCCATAGTCAGCTCCATAGGCTCACCTCTACAGGATCTTGCCAAATTTCTCGCCAAACAACTCCAGCCCTACACAGAATCCATCACCTCACACGTACAAAACTCCTTCCACTTCATAGAAAAAATAAAGAAACAAAACCTACAGCCCAGGAACCTACTCGTGAGCTTCGATGTCATATCCCTCTTCACCCAAGTACCCATCAAAGAAGCCTTGACAGCCATCCAAAACAAATACAACCCCCCCAAACACATCCTAGATCTGACCAACCACTGCTTAACCAACACATACTTCATCCACAATGGACAAAGATACAAACAGAAGGAGCACCCATGGGATCACCCCTCTCACCCGTCATCACTAACCTATACATGGAACACTTTGAAACCAACGCTCTAGACAAATCCGAACACAAACCCAAACTCTGGCTCAGATATGTAGATGACACTTTCGTAATTTGGCCACACAGGAAAGAAAAACTGGACAACTTCCTCACACATCTTAACAACCTACACCCCAAAATACAATTCACCATGGAAACAGAAACCAACAACCAATTTCCCTTCCTGGATGTCCTAATTTACAAAAAAACCAATGGCTCCCTAGGACACACCATCTACCGGAAAAACACACACACCAACCGCTACCTAAATATACAATCCCATCATCACCCTGCACAGATCAACTCTGTAGCCAAGACCCTCATCTCCAGAACCAAATGCCTAGCTGACAAAGACCACCTGAGAACAGAACTAGAAACCCTCAGTAACGTATTAATTTCCAACGGATTCCAAAGAAATACAATTACCAACCTAATCCAAAGAGAGATACCCAAAAAAAACCAAGACACAGAACAAGACAACAGTATTGCACTCCTCCCCTACATCAAAGGCACCACAGACAAAATCAGCAAAATTCTCCACAAACACAATATCAGGACAGCCTTTGGCACTGACCAAAAAATAGCCAACATCCTAAGAAACCCCAAAGACAAGATCCAGCTAGAAAACCAAGGAGTTTATGAAATACCATGCAACAATTGCCCAGCCACATACAGTGGACAA